CCTCGAGGTCCGCTATGGCGGACTGCCTCCTCCGGCGGTCACTTCAGCTATGGCACGTCAGCCCTGCACAACGTCGCGCGCGTGGAACAGCGGGTGCCTGCTCCGATACCAGTGCAATCGAACTCGACTTCTTCACACTTGTCATGCATGCAAACAGCGAAACAGCGAACTGGCGACATGCGCCCACACAGTACTCAAAGATATCGTAACCAGGTAAGAGTTCTCTTCAAACTGGCTATGGTGACTGAGCGCCCACACAACTCACTGTTCGCACTCTGGATCACCCTGGATGTCCCACACGCACACTCAGTGTTCATACCCAACACACACACAGTACACACACTCTGCACTCTACACTGAGCTATGGCAGCTATGGCTGCCACTACCTATCGCTATGACTACAGTGCTTCACTCTTGCCCCCTTCGTCTTCGGGCCTCCAGCAGACCTCCTTGCACTAGACGCTGTGGCAGCGCTACGGCATGGCTTCTGCCTGAATGAATAAATGGCTGGACGCAGCCTCTGGATTTATACTTCTGCGCTGCGTTGGTCTGCCCTGTATCCCTGGCCCATGGTGCACACAGTCCCCCCCGTGGTACTTGCTGGACCGGACTGGTACTTTCTAGACTCTCCCTTGACTGCATGGCGACGACCCTACGACGCAGTGCAGTTGCACTGGGGTCCTGCTGTTTGACCTCGCCGCTTGTCCTCGTCTACAACGTGGGCTTGCTTTAGTCACACCACTTGGCCACTTGCATGCACCACTTGACCACTTGCCGACCTTCTAGAAGGACTGCAGCTAGACTTCTAATCTACAGGTCTACAGATCGAATCCTGGCTACCTATAGACCTACGACAGACCTACTTACCACTGGCGGTTCTACAGGTCGCAGGTTCAATTCTTCGAGTTGACACAGGTATTGTACACAGGTAAGTTGGGGAACTAGGGATCGAACCCTGGAATCTGCATCAGCTACTTCGAACTGGTGAATACCGTTTCACTGCTTGCTATTGAGGTGAAAATCTTTCATTAAGGGGTTGTCTCAACTCAAGTGCTTTTGTTGCCTGTAATAGGATTAAATATGAATATGCTTTGATTTTGGATCTGTTCATCTGGGTGTAGTAGGGGTTGTTGTGGTGAACATTCAAAACACACACACACACACACACACACACACACACACACACACACACCCACCTCAACTCAGAATCTTATGCAACCCAAACACTAACTTACCTCATGTGCCATTCTAGAGTAGTCTGTTCCAATGGTGAGTGTTTAGAGTTCTGCGAAGTTCGTCATACACCTCTCCCCTGCCCTTTGCATGTCATACTCTATCCTGCCCTTCACATGTTCTTCTCCTGCCCTTTGCCCTCCACCTCCCTCTACCGAACACTCCTAACGAACTCTGCCTTCATTCCCTTTCCCTCCACCCTCCCCTCCGCCCTCCCTCCACCCTCACCTCCACCCTCCCCTTTTGTGCTACTAGCAAACACATAGAAGTGAAATAAACAGGAGTATGAAGATCTGAAGAGAAATGCACAGGAGCATACCTTCCTTTGTACTCAGCCTCCTGTTACGGCACACGGGGATGTGGGCAGCTGCCGCTCAACCACAATCAACGTGGGCAGCGTTGGATGTGCGAGGCATAGTAAAAGAGGAGCTGTTGCCCCAAAGAAACCCCAACTAAACACAATTCAAAACGGTTCAATTATGATTCATGTTGCTTGGTGAAGAGGTGAATTCTTTCACTGTTCGGCTGGCTTAACTCAAATCTACTTGTCTCGGTGGAATAGGGGCGATTGTGGTGGAAACTTACAGCACACACACACACACACCCATGCGCCCGCACACATGCTCATCATGATCCTTGAAGTCTGGACAAGGCTGGCAATCTAAACAGGAAAGGTCCCACCATCCGGCATGACCAGTCCTTCCACAAAGATTTCATAGCTTAGTAAGTATAGGTCCTTACATCTGGGCCCAAGGCCCTCCTCCGTGCAAGCACAGATTCGAACCAGAGTAACCTCGGCCTCAAGAGCCGAGTCTCTTAACCACTACAGCCAGGACATGGTGTTCAAAAGCGGAACCATACTGCTCGTGATATCCATCCAACCCCTGCAAGGCTGTAGTGTCCAACACGACACACATCACACGGAACACCACATGGACGCATCACACAAACACGGCAGTTATCGCACACTTCGCTCCAGTAAGCACGTAACCCCCCACTGGTACCTAGGCCGCTCACACAAGCAGGTCTTACTTGCCCGCAGGTTCACAGGCGCTTCCACAGTAAGCATAGGTCCGTACATCTGGGCCCCAGGCCCTCCTTCGTGCAAGCACAGATCGGAACCAGCGACCTCGGCCTCAAGAGCCAAGTCTTAGGAACTCCCTTGTTTGAACTTCAAATAAAAAATTAGACATATAGTCAAGGCAGCATGCAGCAAGGATGTGATCGCGACTGATCAGCACCCAAGTCATGGATTGCAACCGGCCGAAGGAGAAAAACAAATGTTACGGCACCCTGAAACCTGCCTCCAAAAGGTTAGCACAGATTCTGAACATAGGGAAACACCAATCTTGCATAATGCCTGAGGTAAAACCCGTGGCATGCCACACACCGGGTATGACAACACACAGGAGGTCTTGTACTCTGGCGTTCCTCCGAGCTCAAATTGCCCTCAACATGACTGTATCAGATCAGGCTGATAGCTTGTATACATTTGTGATTAGGAGCACTGCATCCGGGGGAAGATGGGAGGTAGTTCTCCAGAATTGCTGGCCAGACATGCATGCTATTGCTTTCAGACCTGTGAAGCACATAAACAGATATCTAGAGAGCTATGTTACATGTACCAGAGCAGGGAAGCTCCCGGCTTGCTTCAAACACAACAGGGAGCTTGCCTGCCACCTCCAGGGTCCAGAAACTTCAGGCTTTCAGGCAATGTTTCAGGAAAATAACAATGAAATTTAGTTATTGATGATGCGTACCCAGAGACCTACCCTTAAGAAGGGAAGGCCGTTTCCGAGGCGGCTGATCGACGGGCTTGTCCCCATTCTCCAGAGCACGCTTGGCCAGTGAAGTCTGAGCATCGCTGTTCGACTCCACACAGTGTGCACTCCCCGTCACCAAGGACCGAGGAGGTGATCCTCCAGCCCCCGACAAAACTCCTCCTGCACTCTCCACGGTTGCGCCAGGTATTGCTGCCCCTCCTCCCCCACCGCTTAGTGCAACAGCGTGTCCGGGCGTTCTTGGTCCAAGCCCGCTGTGTGCACCTGCTGAGCCACTCTTGCCATTCCCTCCACCGGTCACTGGGAGGTTCTTTTGAGCAAGGTGCCCATGGATTGGGCAATTAGGGGATACCACATGCCGAGCCACACTATGTGTCTTCGTTTTCAATGATGCCTGCGATGTAGTTTGCGATGCTGTGACTTGCGTTATTGGAAGTGCTTGTGGGATCGCTTCAGGAGTAAAGGTCGCGGGTGGTATGACAGCGGGGGGTTGAGCCTCTGTCACCCCAGCCGGGGGGGTGCTAACTCTGGAATCCAAGCTCTCATGCTGTGCCTCCTCTGGTGTGAATGCCGACTTCGTGGGAGTAACGGGAGCTTGTGTGGGAGTGGGTGTAGGCCAAGTCACCTTACGTAAATTCAGAGTCCTGTACAAATAAGCACAGAATACAAGCCATTTCCACGAAAACCTTACGATGAAAGGGTGTGGGAGAAGAGAAAACAACTTCAAAACAAAAAGAACAAAGAAGCAAATAAGCTCTAACGAAACACGCGTTTCCCATTATTCCTCGCTCTTCTCCTTGTTCCCCTTTACATAAATTCAGAGTCATGTACAAAAAGCACAGAACACCAGTCATTTCCACGGAAACCTTATCACGACTCGGGTGTGGGAGAAGAGAAAACGACTTCAACAAAAAGAATCAAGAGCAAAATAAGCCCTAACAAAACATGTCCTTCTCATTATTCCTTACGCTTCTTGTCTTCTTCTTCTTCTTCTTCTTTCTTGTTTTTTTAGTAGCGCATTAAAACCTGACATTACTGTATGCTTTCAGATTCGAAGTTCGAACTTCTGATCTGTTTATCAACAGCTACACGTGTTTACCTTTCAGCCACAATGCAAAAATCTTCTCTTTTTTTTTGTTTTTTTTTTTGCACTATCAACCAGGTAAAAGATTTTAACCATTTCTTAATTTATGTGTATCATCCTTGAGCAGGGGCCATGGTAATCTTTTGTGTATCGTTCCAATTTTAGCAATATCCGGAAGGATGCACAAGGCAAGTAACCAGTGTGGCTATCCGGCAATTTGACATTCAAATTTCAAAAATAATTAAATGGCTGTAGCCCTTTCCCCCCCCTCCCCCCTCGCCCCTCGCCCCTCAACATTAACAATCAGGGTGTGAACTCATGTCAGCAGGTCTGTCGCGGCGCGAGTTCCAAATGGGAAAAAGTAAAAAAAAAAAAAAAACAATAAAAGGGCAGTTTAGTTTTGGCCAGGAGCCTTGCTGATTTACCTTTTCAGATCAGCAGACCATGAACTTTCTGGAGGTTTTCCTGCTTGATTCAGAAGTCCTGTGAACGTTGTTGGAGAATTGTTGTTGCACGCCTGTTCGAATCTCCGCCTGCCACATGAAATTGTCACACAGATGCGTCAAAAAAAAAAAAAAAAAACTTTCTCGGCCTTTTCGCTACGATCAGGTGTAGTATTTGTTCTGATCAGTTTGATATCTGATCTGTGGTAAAAAAGAAAACAATTAAAAAAAAAAAAAAAAAAAAAAAAAAA